ATGATGTATGCAGACGATACCGTCTTGTTTTCACGGAGTGTAGAAGGGCTAAAGAATCTTGTCTATGCTGTTAGAAAGCAAAGAAAAGTGAAAGAAAAAAACCTTAAAATGGTGATTCGGGGTTGGCACAGCAGGTTTACGAAAGGGCCACGTATACGGTAGATCTACTTTATTATGTAAAAGCGGGATAGTTTCATGTCCTATTGTATGAGCCAAAAAACGTTTTGTACAGCTGCTTAAGTATACGCATCAAGTAGGCGGAGCTAATTTGGTAGAGAGTGTCATGTTACATTTACACTGTGTTTTGGATGTTCCTCATTGACCACTAGTAAAAAATGGACAATAAACTTACTAAGAAGAGATGAAAACGTCATTGCTTTAGTTTGTTTGAATATTTGAATGTTCAACTCTTCGTAATATACATCCAGCAAGATAACATTCTTCCTGTTAATACAAACAGTAAATTCAATTTTTCTTAAGAATCAACGGTCATCTTTATAAATATTCTTTATCATTAAACCGGGCACAGACTGTGCGTTTCATAGAGACGAGGATACGCGTGCAACCGATCGTCTGCTACCGTCAACGTCGTGTCATGAAAGGCTAACAGGGAACATGAAATGGATTTGTCGTACAACGCAGAATGTACAAGGCAAACCTAAATTATCATCATTATCATCTCTCAGATCGCCATTCTGATATAATCAAAAAATTATTTGATTATTAGAGACATACAGTGTAACATTTTTTAGTCGGGGAGATTTCTAAATTATTTTCCCATATTATATTATACAAACATAATATATTCACAAATATTTAATTGTTAAGGACGTAGGGGTTAATACTAAAAATTTAATTTTCTATGGGATTGTGATTTCGTTTAGCATTCAGGAATTTAGTTCATCATTCTAATTCTTCTCACTCACCAACATCACGCCCCCTGCCCCCTCCCCACACACAGACACACTGGCTGAAACCAGCTTACTTCCCTTAACGATTGTTGATAGTGTATGCAATAATATAACCTTTGCGATATCATTTCTATCTGGCATGGTTTACGACTAGTACTTATTCTACTGCGTCCTCTTATTAGGGTAATATTTGTGGATATTTTATGGAATAGTCTATGAATTTAAAAATTTTCTAGAGTCGTAATGTAACAGGCCCTTACGTGAAATTTTCTGCAGAAACTCCATAATAAGTGTGCAGATCCTTTCCAGCAGATCGGTTTGGAATGTCGGCATACGTGACGGACGATGGGAACGACGTGTAAGCACACGGAACTGGACACTTGCATTTTTCTAGAGATCCGTTTTTCAGTCTCTCTTAAAGGGACAAAAAAATGCGATTTATATTTTCATACGCAACAATTTTACAGGCAATTAAAAAAGGGAGAGAGAGAGAGGGAGATAAAGAGAGCACAGAACAGTGGCGGATTCAGGAATTTGAAATAGAAAGGGAACAAGATAGACTTTCACAGATGTAAGGGTCCAGATCACCTCAACCCTACCAAGAGGCTCAGAAAAGAAAATGTTTATGATTATGGCTGGGCCCTCCTTGAATCCTCCACTGCAGAATATTTAAATTTTAATGTAAACTAAACAATAAAGCTAGGCCTAGCGGTATTCTATAAATCTATATGTGAGTAAAATACTAACTTCTCTTCTATACAAACAACATTTAAAAAAAAATCATTACTGAGCACACTTGATGGGCAGCTCCTTGTTTCCTTTGGGCCACATTCTTTCTCACCACCTGGGTATCTATATACAAAAAATATAATAATTTTTTTAAGCGTGATTAAACTTTTATTGATAAAAACATAACAATAGGTTTCAAAAGAAGCGATTGCTTTTATACATTTACATGACTAAGCGATGATAGCAACATTAATTGCGATAAAAATTTAATTGTTTCATATTTATATATTTTTTTTGCTTTAGCCAGTCTGCACAATATTTACAGTAACAATTATTGCTTATTACATTTTTAGTTTTAAAATTATTACGCTTAAAGTAAGACCGAAATTTTTCCCCTTGCAGACACCATAGCTAGGGGATTTTGGTGGGGGAATCTTGTGCATCATCTGCTACAATTGTAACTATTGGAATTATTTACGTACAGTAGTTTCAATTATAATCTACTCTTTGCATCAACTTACATGAACATTTCATGTGCGTGGGGTGGGTGGGGCATGGAGATCCCCGGCAATGGCTGTGCCAATAGAGAGCGCCGTTTCCTAAATGGATTTGTCTATAGCCTTTGCTTACCGAATAGGTCTGCAACCACACACTTTGACGATGTGTTTATGCTGGCACTCCAGTAAGCACCCAGCGACCGTGTAATTTTCGTAGTTCTTAAGCTTACTAGATTTTTCACAATTTCCGTAAGGTTCACCTAATGTTTTTACCTATATTGGACGTAAAAACATTACACATTAACAAAAATGTATGATTTCATTGATAACATTAAAATGCCAATTGAATTCAAACGTACCTCTCATTAAACCACGGAGATATTATTATACAAATATTTACTGGGTTGAGGGGAATAGTTCAACTTATAGCTCGAGGTGATGCGTGACCACGGTGAAAAAATCAATTGTGCTATTGGTTGGAGTGAAATTATGCTACATTATGCTACGCCCCCAAATTTCATTTATATTTAAATTAAATGCATTGTTTAAGTATAAATTACTATGTCCATGTTAAATTACTCTTATCTATTAAAATGGTATATTTAAATAATATACCGTAGTAATAAGCATAGCACCGAGACCCCTGACGATTAGTGCCAAAAACTGTTTACAAAAATGTAATGCAATAATAGCATATTAACTACTATTGTATTTTTTCGGAAAATAATTCAGCCGCTCCAATTCTCTTTCCTATTCTTCCTTTATTCTCTCATAATTTTGCGTTTATTCATATTTTTCATAATTTTTATACACTCAAATAGCCTCTTGCTTAGGCCAAGGATAGTCCTCGGATATGCCTATTACTATATTATTTAAATATAAGAATTACTATTAATACTATATTATTTAAATTCAAAGAATAAAAGGAAGAACAAAAACGAAACATAATCTCCTGTAGACCATACTACAGGTGCAGGAAATATCCTCAAGATCACAATCTTGCTTGGTGGTGGTCAAAGATCTTATAAACACAAGATAGCGTTCTCCGCGATTTACGCGTAACAAATAGAAGCGTCGGTCAAGGTTCAAAAGTTTCCAATTTAGCAAGAGGGCGCCATTCATGCGCTATTATACCAAAGAGAAAAAGTAATCAGCTTTGGAAGAGGGCGTCCTATCTGTTGCCATGGATCTGAGACGGTTCCTGTTCTGCTGTTCACAGGATTGATACCCTAATGGTAAAGTCAAGCGGTCAAGGGTCAAAAGTTTCCAATTTAGCAAGAGGGCGCCATTCATGCCTTATTACAGAATTTGCACGCGTAAATCGCGGAGAACGCTATCTTGTGTTTATAAGATCTTTGGTGGTGGTTCAGTGTACTATAAACTGTGCAATAGAAGGTTCCGACCTTCTGACGGCGCTGTAGTTTTTTGCTCATTAAAGAGTTTTCGATTTGCATGTCCACTATGTAGACTGATAACCTATGGCCTAGTTTTGATGACTTGCGCATGCGTCAAGTCGACTAACACGACGACTGCCAAATTTGAGAACGTGTTCAGCAGCGTTTTGACGTTCGCTCTCTGACTGAGATAACAGGTAGACGTATGACGTCATATCATGATGGAGGACGATGTCGCGGTGCTTCTTAATTTGGCAAAATTATCTTCTACTGGGGATGTAAATAAATAGCATTTCGGTTAAGTTATGTCCTATTTGCAAACTATAGAATTATCCATTATTGTGGATCAAATTCAGTGGATAATTAAGATAATTAATTAATCAGCCTATTAGCTCCAAGGGAGCCTAAGCCTAGGCTAGGCTAGGCCGCCAGCCTTCAGTCAGGCCGGGCATATCCAGGAAAAAGGAAATAATTTTTCAGTGATCTGTTAAAAAAAAAAGAATCCTATATTGAAAAAAGGAGAGGTGCACCCTCAACAGGGAGATTTATGTTTTTACAACTCCCTGCCCTGAATACCCCATGGATATACCATTAAGGGATTCGCGAAGCCGATGAAGATTTGCCATGTTGAGCTGCGTATACTACAGTACCACGGCCAGTGTATTCAAATAGCGCGTCATAAGTTCAAGGTCATAAGTTCACTAACGTGTCAACATGGACGTTCACTTATCGAAACGTTCAGATAACCAGTGGACAAGTACCAGTCGACTGCTCTGATTTTCCACTCACGTGGACGTGAAAGCCGTAAACGTCCACTCAAATCGAAAAGTCCCTAATGGTACGAGAGCACTTCTCTATATTTTGCAACACCTAATACTACGCCAGACTGCAAGCGGCGCAAAAACGTCATGTCAATAATATACCCATTTCTGCCGAATATATTGGTAAAACAAAGCAACCTTTGTTTTTGGAACTAACATTTTATTACAAATACTTCTAATTTTATTTAAAATGTTTTTCAATGTCAACTAAACATTATGCATAGCATAAATGCCAAATGCTACAGGGTCTAATGTATGCTACAAAGCATACCGTAATTATGCTACGTGTGGCCACCCTGTCAGATCTGGAGGCTGTACTTGGCCTATGCGCACCTTCAACAATAGGCTTAGCATAGTTTTCTACATCGCCAAATTTACAAGATATTCCCTGCTATATTGTTATATATAACTGAATTTCATTAAGCCTACTCACTTCAATTTTACGTGTTGAGACGTATGCGTGTACACCTGGAGCAACTGCTAAACCTTTGGATTCCATCAATGGTGGCTCGTTTTGTGGATGTAATAATATCTTCAAGCCGGCCTCAATGGATTCATTCATTGACTCGGTGTATTCGTGCTTCAGGGTGAAAAATATTAATTTTAGTATATATTTTTATTAGGCCTACTTTACTAATATTCTCCAATTCAATTTTGATCAATAAAACTATTCGATACACTAAATAATTAAAAAAAAGTAGGAGTGGAAGAGTGCATCCCTGTAGGGCTTATGTGTCACATTATGTGGTGCCATTTCACTTATATAACTGTAAAGCCCTAAATTTTACGGCCGTTATTTTGGAATTTGAAAAATAATATTTTAAGTTTTTCTTTTGCCTATGTCCTCGAGGGATGTTATTGTCTGGCAATTAAATATGACTGAAAGTGGTCATGTTTCATCTTAGGTATTGTAGCTTTTTACTGTACCTTGACTATACCAAATCATACCGAAAATTAAAAAAAATAAAAAATAAAAAAAAAACATGTCTTCTTTTATCTGGATCCCCATGTGAATATTTTATTAGTAACAGCAAGACAGTACTGTATATATTTTAACATGATGCAGAAAACTATTATTAGACTGTATAGAATTAGGCCTTAACGTTGATCGAGGATTCCTAGCACATTATCACCCCATTATTCTACTGTCATCATATTCATATATGTAGGACTGGTGACTGTCCTTTTAAAATGCAATATGCGAGGGTTATATAATCCTAATCTGGCTTATGCCGTCCTGTATATTGTATATACAACCAGATTACAACAGTTTAATTACTATACTGAAACAGCCTCAAACGCCGGGAACCAGCGTAGATTTTTAAACCAATTTCTAAATACGCCATTTTGGAATTCATCTGAATTATGACTGTAAACACACGCATTTACAGGGTTTTTTGGATTCAAAATAGTACGTATACAGGTATGTATATCATGTCTTTCTCTAAAATTTTACACTTATTAACTCTAATGCTTTAAAAAAACATTAACGTTCAGTCAACATAGGCCTAGACCAAGGCCCTCGGCATATTACCTAGTTTAGGCCTAGATGAACAACTTTCGGCTCGATTATGTGTGGGATAAAGCCGGGCCTCTGGCTTAGGTTGAAGGGCCTAGGTATTTAGAATTGCCAAGAGGCTCCCTACTTTGAGTGTCATAGTGGCCCCCCCCCCCTAATAGTAATTCCCTGGTGTTCTATTACCTCAGTGCAGGCCTATTTGAATATTCACTATTTCTACTACTAGCCTCCTATATTAGGC